CCGACGCTCTCCTCTTCGCCAGGGAGGAGGCCGTGGCCGCCACCGACGACGAAGAGATCGACGCTCGACGAGTCGACGACATTTTTTGTTTAAAGACTAGCCCTAATTTTGGACAATAAAGCGGATTAAAAGGAGGAAAATCTGGAAATTTAGAGGGTTTTTTGTTCGTATTTATTGAGGGAGGGAAAAAGGGGAGTTTTGAATTCGGAGAAGATTTTAGCCGTTGATCGTTGGTGATAATCTCAGTAAAGAAGTGAGGTTTTGAATGAGGAGCGGTGTGGTCACCACCGCTGGATGAGAAGATGGTGAGGGGATCCTCAGGGGGTTACTTTTAAATTTTGAACTTGAAAAGGCGTGGGTTTTTGATGGTACCTTCGGTGTAATAAATAAAGGACGAAGGTGGGGCCGGCAAATTTGGAAGTCCTCAAAAACCCAGATTATTAGGAGGGGGCCTTGGCTTTTTCAGTTTTTTGTTTGAGATATCAAGATTTTGAGGGGCCTAGGCATTTTCAGTTTTTTTTTTTTGTTTGAGATGTGTGTGGAAATGTGTGATTTATTTTGAATGTTATTTTTGAACTGGGGGAAGATGATATTTGATTATTGCGAAATTCTGATGAAGGTTGTTATTTTTCGTTATTAATTTGGGTGTGAGTTTATTAGCTCACATGAAGGTCATTGTGAAATTTTGTATTATTGGGAATTTTGATGAAGGTCGAAACTAGAAACAATTGTTGTATAATTGTGTAACTAGTTTAAGAAACAAATTAATTTTTAAGCCTTTCTTTTTATAAGCCAGCCCAAATTTGAATTCAAGTCTGTAAATATTATATTTAAACCTCCCAATCGTCGGGATCACTAACAGTGGATATTAACTTTTAAATATGTAAGTTTTTTTTAACTAGCAAAAATTAGTTATTAAGCTTAGTAGATATATCTGAAGACAAATTAATGTCTTTTTCTTCATCTTGTATATTGTTAGCATGGCATTTTATTAACCGCCAAAATCTTGATCATTGACGTATCCATATCAAAACTAACAGTTGTTGCTTGTTACGCCAAAGACACACCAGCCAAGAGTGTTAAGAAACATACCAATTTTGGTTTACTCATAATTTAAATTGAACTGGCAAAAAATGAACTAATAATGACCTGTGTAATTATTAGGTGTATATGACCTAAAATTTTGAATATTGATTACAACCTTCCAAAATCAGGATAACTCGATGCTTTTTTTATTGGTATCTATTCTTCTATAATAATGGGAGGACCCAAGAATCATTATTCATGCTACAGTAAATATTGCAGCAATTTCCAGTAGATTTATTACTGTAGCATTTTTCAAAGAAATATTGTTTCGTAGCATAGGCGGGTACTGTAGTAATTTTTAAAAAAAATTATTGTAGCATTATTTTTTTAAAATATTACTGTAGTATTTTTTTTAAAATATTGTTGTAGCATATGTGGGATCCTATAGCATTTTTAAAAGAATATTATTTGTAGTATTTTTTTTAAAAGTTTAGTGTGGCATTTAAAAATGTTGTAGCAACTAAAAAATCGGATTACTGTAGTAATAAAAAAAAGGAAAGGTCGTGCTTCGCATGGGCCGCACACTAGTGATGATTTGGTGATATGTTCTAAATAAAATAACTTAAAGAAACGTATATCTAAAGAGTTATTTCGATATTATACCCCCAAATCTTTAGTATATTAGACCCTCAAATCATTAAAATTAATCTCATGCCCGCCCCAAATCCTTAATATTTTGATATCGACCCATTGAATCTTCGAAATTGATCTCAGACCCGCCAAATCCTATTACTATATTGGAATAATTTTGTTTAGTTTAACTTCTTTGATGATTTGCAAATTACATCTCTCACATGCAAACCCAAATTGATTAACCACTTTAACTTACATCCATTAAGTTTTCCAAATTTGTCTAATAAAAGCCTAACTAAAACCTATTTTTCACTTTATTTTTTCTAACATCTTCCCGAACGGGAATCTATATGTTATAAATTTATGGGAATCTATATGTTATAAATTTATGGGATTAGGGCTGAAAAGAGTCATTGGGGAAGACATTGAAGAAGATAAAGTAGAAAATGTGTTTGAGTTCGGGTTTTATTAAGCGGAATTGGGGAGCTTAACTATGTATAAGTTAAAGTGGTTGATGGTATTGGGATTGTGTGAGAGATATAACTGACAAATCACCGAAAAAGGTAAAGTAAATAGAATATTCCTTCAATTTCAACAATTTTAACAAGGGGGCTTATTTCAACATATTATTAGCATTTGAGGGGTCTCAGAACAATTTCAAAGATTTCGGGGGCTAACAGAAATATTAAAGATATGGGGAGCTAATATCGGAAGAACCCATATCTAGAAGTACGACGAGTCTTTTTAAATCGACTTTTAGTTTTTTATATATTAGATAAATCAACTTTTCAGTTATTTAGCTGGTCTCAGAAGGCTCCGACCAGGAAATCCAAAAAAAACCCAATGCTGTTACCATTTTCGGCTGGGATGAGAGATTCAGACTTTTTTAGAGGCCCATGGTACAACTGTAACTACAGGCATTTAGTCCGACCGAGAAAGCTTTGAATTTTGAATTTCAAATATCAAATATCCAAATTCTCAACGGCTAGCTATCCCTCACGTGACATACACATTGCCAGTTTATAAATTTATTCCATTTTCACATGCAATGCGAGTGATGAAAGAGTAATCACCGGCAGTAACAGCAAGTGTGCCATCACTAAAAAGTGAGAGTTTTAATTTTTGATCCGAACTTGAATTGAAAAAGGCTTCGCCTTGATTAAAGCAAGGTCTTATTTATAATTGGAAGAAAGAAATCTATATTTCTTCAATTACATATTACTTATACTCAGGGGCCAGATCTAAAAACCTTAGTCACTATAATGAAAGAGATTGAATGAATTGTTAATTTTCTCATTCACAATAGGAGCGTATAAATAGAGTACAAGGGATTACATCAGATCCTAAATCAATGCTCTCATTCACAATAGGAGCGTATAAATAGAGTACAAGGGATTACATCAGATCCTAAATCAATGCTAATTACAATCCTCTAATTAATGATAATTATAAATAAGGAAGGTCAATGCTATCAGATCCTAAATCAATGCTATCAGATCCTAAATCAATCACTACTGCAAAGGGGACTATTGGCGACGGACAAATCTGTCGCCAAGAGTCCAAAATCCGTCGCTAAAAGTTTTAGCGACGGAAAAAATGAAATTCCGTCGCTAAAAATCCGTCACTATTGTCAGGGTAGGTAAATCTACCTTTAGCGATGGCAAATTCGTCGCTAATTTATAGCGACGGATATATAGCGACGGAAAATCCGTCGCCAAAGTATAATTTTTTGACGACGGTATTTTCCGTCGCTATACAATTAACCGTCGCTATATTTTTTGGCGACGGATTTTCCGTCGCCAAAATATTCTTTTGGCGACCGTATTTCCGTCGCCCTATTTCCGTCGCTATATAATTTTCCGTCGCCAATATATATTAGCGACGGAAAATCCGTTGCTAAATGTTGTTTAGTGCACATCTAGCGTGTCAGTTTTTCGTCGCTAAAAGAGCTTTTAGCGACGGAATATCCGTCGCTAAAAATAATCTGAATTTTTTTTAAATTTTTTTTGAAAATAAGAAATTCCTGTACAATATATTTCACAACAATAACATGTACAATAAATTTACACAACACAAGCACATATAACACATATTTCACGCATATATAACAATTATTTCACTAAAAACATAATAAATATCCCAACATTAGAAATGTTTATACAGCACACCCATTGTTTTTAATGTTAAAACAAATAAACTCAGTCCCGATCATCATCATCCTCATCCTCATCACCACCTCCACCTTGTCGAGAAGTCCCAGCCTAAAAAAATAAATAAAACGTTATAGAGCAATACGTACATCATCAAAAACTGAATTTTACAGTAAAGTAACAAATTATAAAACAACAAGGCATAACATGCAAGTATAGCAATAATAGAGTATCATGGCATATTCTTACATGTTATATGATTAAGAGAGAGTATCATGGCATATATTTATGTATTATACGCAAGCACGCACATGTTTTTAACAACGCACACACCCGTACCTATCTCCACCGACACGCACACACGCACGCACGAGTACCCAGCTCAACCCAATCCCCACACTTCCCCCTCCCCCACCACGACCAAACCCAACATCAAGCACGCACATAACGATCACGACAATACAACACATGCAACACCACAACACAACAATAACAACACCACCACCACTACAATAACAATCCCCCACCCACGAACCAACCAAACTCCTACCCCCCACCCCCTCCCCCTCCATCATCATCACCACCACCACCACCACCACGACGAAAACACCCACCAACCAACAACATAACCAACGACCCTACGCCCCCCCCACCAACCAACCAAACTCCTCCCCCCCCCCCACCCCCTCCCCCTCCATCATCATCATCATCACCACCACCACCACCACCACGACGAAAACACCCACCAACCAACAACATAACCAACGACCCTACACACGAACGCCCCACAACAAAACAAAATAACAACTAACTAACCAACTCACTATCCAATACAACCATCGCTACGCATGCACGCACCATCAACACCACCATCACATAAAAACATTAAGTATATAATTTTAGTTGTGTTTCGGAGAGAGATATAGTTTGTGTGTAACAGTTTGTGTGATATCATTTAGTCACACGGCATACTCGTAACTAAGTAAGAATTTTATATTTAATTCATTTAATTAAAAAAGAAATATACATATATATATATATTACCTGATCCGCCAAAAACCGTCTCCTATATGCCTCCTGAGCATCAGAAGGTAGAGTCGATATAAACTGGGTGAATTCCAGCTCCCTCTGCTCCCGACGCCTCCGTTCTTCCTCCGCCATCTGGAGTAGCTCCGACTCCCGACGCGACTGCCAATCTTCCATCGCTTTCATCCGCTGCTCCATAGTCGGGTCTTGAGAAGAACTGCATCCTGGTGGAGCTGCAGACTCGTAGGTGCTACTGGACTCGTACGGCCGATGCTCGGATCCTCTCCACCTGTATCTGTTCTTCCTACTCGGTCCAATGACCGTCTCGATGATGCTATCCTCCTCCTCTCTACTTAATCGGGTCGGAGTGTTAGAATCGACCTGAGTCTGTGATAATTGCTCCTGCACCTTAGCATGTAATTTCTCCTGCGATATACCAAAACAACCCGGTCAATTCTAACACATTTAAAATGCATTGTTATAAAAATTAAATATACAAATTAACTGCTACTTACAGCCAGATCCCGGTTCTGCGCTTTCTTCACTTCATCGGCGTAATTTGGACTCCAACCAGTCAGAATACGATCTGCAAAATGCCCGAGTTCTCCCCTTCCCTATTTTATTCACATATATCATTAACTCATAACACATAAATTATACTCAAATTGATAACCTAAGAGCTAATATATTATATACCTCAAGCGCCAATTGATGATAATGCTGGCTGAAGGACCTGGAGCCCCCGTGATGCTCGTAACTGTGGGGCGCATTGCGGTTCCTCTTTGCTATTTTAGCTTGTTCCTGCAAAAGAATGTTGAACAGATATAATATAGAATTTCAAACAATAAACGAAGATATATACTTCAATAATACCTGAGCTTCGGCCGTGTCCCAATAATCGCAAAGTGCAAAAAAAATCAACTCCACGGCGCGCTCGTCAAGATGCCAGTAACGCTCCCAATCTTCTGTTCTTTGAGTAAAATATTTTTTCTTCAGCTCTGACCGCCACCTCTTGAACGATAGATTGATTTGCGTGAAGCAGTAAGTCCAGGCACAAGCGTAATCGTCAAGAAAGAAAAATCGCTTCAGCATACAATGAAAAAAGAGATACAAATCAGTGTGTTAAACAAAATAATAAAATGACTAATAATTATGAGAATTAAAATAAATGACTCACACATATATATCGCCAACAAGCCACCAGCGCATCAATCCGCTGCGACTTCCACGTCAAATATATGTTGAAGAAATCATGTCTCCTGGCTAAAGCGGCGAGGAAATTGTTGAAAGAGTTAGCAAATGGCCCGACAGGCACGCCGTTCTCCCATCGGATCACGGCCCTCCGACGAATATCTGGGACGAGGTTCTGTGGCTTGGTACTACTGCGGCCGCGCCTAGTAGGTCGCTCGGTACCTACGAAAAAATGAAATTCAGGCGAAATATAAATCAATCAATATCGATAATACAAATTAAAATATTAACATATAAACTATAAAAATCTATACACACCTTTCAATTCGAGGCATCTACGCCTTGCTTGTTCATACCTCTGCTGTGCGATAAGTCGCAAATCATGATAAGCATCCCAATCCTCCTTCACCTTGGCCGGGTCGTGGGCTCGCTGATCCGGAATAGAATCCGGCGGTAGTGGCGCAGCTTCTACAGCTGCGCTATATGGCTCATATCGGCGCTCCTCCAATACATCTGCAGCCTGAGGAGGCGACGGCGGCATCTCTGCATGCTGGGCAGGATCAACGAGTGTCTCCGCATCAGGTGGAGCATCTCCTCGTCCTGTGTCCTGTGGCGGCCCGTCATGTGTAGCAGCGATGCGGCCTGCGTAGGAAATGTGAAAAAATAATGTTAGGCTCGTATTAATAGTTTATAGAAATGTACAGATATAATAAATAAATAAAAATACCTGACGTAGAGCCATGTGCGTCGCCTCCAGAATGTCTACCAATAAGTCTCTCAAGCGCTCTCTTACGTAATCCTTTTGTCATCTATACTTTGAAAACATAATGAGTACCCAACAAAACTATAATACATGACAAAAACTGATACATGATAACCAGTCAAACAGATAATATAAAGGCAATACTATAATACATAACACAAACTGATACATGTTAACCAGTCAAACAGATACATGAATGTTCTTTTTAAATCATAACCAAGCATTATATTATGATGATGATGTTGAGGCTCTACTCTGCGACCGTGTGCGGTTAGCCTGCGACCGTGTGCGTGCAGACAAAAGGACTGTCCTTATAGTTTTATCGACTCTACCGTGGACTCGTTTTTTTATTTTACGCCTTGGCTCACATATAATCGCAGGTACATCAGGGCGCGCCAGTACAATTTCATCCACCAGATTATTTTGTGTCAAGAAAAACTCAGCAACTGTTTCGTCGGCCAAGATAACATCTTCATGATCTTCGTCAGACACGGCTTCATGAATGTAGGATCTAGGCGGATTCTTAAGGACAACCCATTCATCATTTTTCATTATATCTTTGACATAAAAGCACTGTTTTGCGTGAGCAGCTAACATGTACTTTTCAGTCTGATATATTTCCTTGTTAAGATTAACGAGTGTGTAACCGTAGTCATCCTTCGCCTTTTTCAGCTCACTCCAACGAACCTTAAACATCACATGTCTGACTTCATTATTAATCCCATAGAAAATCTCCACAATGTCTTCTACCTGACCGTAGCAATAGATTTCACCTTGTATCGGATTTAGATCTTTTGAACTAGCGTATGACAGTTGCGAGAAGGAGCAGAACACACCGCTATTTTGCGTTTGTCGTCTCTCTTCGAAACCGATGGTGTTAAACCTAAAGCCGTTGATACAGTAGCCTCCATAACGCTTAACCACGTTAGAAGGACCTCTGGCATATAAACATATTTTCTCAGGCAGGTTAACCCCATTCGTAATACGTCGGTCAACCTTTAAGAAAAGAAACAAATAGTTTAAATATCTGTTGGCAGGCACATATTTGATATACGAATCAGAAATGTAAATAAATCTTACTTCACCCTTCAGCCATGCAGGGAATTGTCTAGAGTGTGTGTCCATAACTCTTTTGTTTTTTGTTCTGCATTTAAGAATAGTCTGGACATATCGGATGTGAAGCCTAGAATAAAATCATTTACAACAGTTAAATAGAGATAGTTATTGTGATGTGATATGATCTGATTCAAACAGTTAAATACTTACGTCGCGTATATGTTAAATGTAGTATCATTGCTCAAGATATATGTGTGGGCTTGATCTAGCTCCATTCTGGGGAATCTAGTGTCCTCCCCACGATCATTATAGAATGTTCCGTCAATTATTCGTTGGGGACGGTTGAGCCTTGTCTCCACACCCCGCAAGTAACGAGAGATGAAATTCAAACTCTCATTACTTATATAGTTCTCTGCTATCGATCCTTCAGGACGTGCACGATTATGCATCAAATGTTTCATGAAACCCAAATACCTACAAGCATATAGTTTCATGATTTGTGACAAAATAAAACTGATATACGTAATTTAACAAATATTAATTGAGCATTATAATAATAAATACCTCTCCACAGGGTACATCCAGCGATATTGAACTGGTCCTGCGATGCGGGCTTCATATGCTAAATGTATTGTGAGATGCACCATGACCGTAAAGAACGAGGGTGGAAATAGAATTTCCATTTTACACAGTGTATTGGCTACACGTCCCTCTAATTCTTCAAACTCCCTGACATCAATCACCTTGGAGCACAACTGCTTGAAGAAACCGCAATATTCTATTACCACCATCGCGAGTTCCTTCTCAGCATGTCGCAACGCAACCGGGAGAAGTTGATGCAATAGAATATGATGGTCATGTGTCTTGAGTCCCAAAATTTTCCTGTCCTCAATATGCACATTTGCTGAAATGTTTGAAGCATAACCATCCGGTGTCTTCACGGACTTTAGAAATAAACACATATTATGGATCTCATCCTTCGACAGTGTGACACGGGAGGCTGGGAGTACAAACTTTCCGTCACCCTTATCTATAGCTTGCAGTTCGGGACGGATGTTCAATTCTGCTAGGTCTCGACGTGCCCTTAAGTCATCTTTTGATTTTTTTCCCGTCCTGCAACAAAGTGTTCAAGAGATTCTCGCATATGTTCTTCTCGATGTGCATGACATCCAAGTTGTGACGTATTTTTAAACTTCTCCAATATGGCAATTGATAAAATATGCTGAATTTTGACCATCCATGCGGAAGTTCAGTACCCTTAGAGACACGCACATGCGATTGGACAGTGCGAGGTTTATTTCTCATCCTTGTTTGCTTACCCTTTCCCCTTCCCTTCCAATTTTGCTTCAATATTTTTCTCCTAACCCCAAATGGATTTTCTTTGTTGAATCTTTTCTTTCCAAATATTTTTTTAGGTAGAGGATGTAGAAGCTCAAATATTTCTTCCCCGGTCAGCCTTGGTGGTGCCGGTCTGTTTTCTGGATTGCCGTCGAACTTTCCTACTAACTTTCTGAACTTGTGCCCTGTAGGTAACCATCTTCTGTGTTGCCAATAACAGAACTTGCGGCTGTATTTCAGGAACTTTCCCTCATAATCTGACATGCAAACCGGACAAGCAATCTGACCCTTCGTCGACCATCCAGACAGGTTAGCGTATGCCGGGAAGTCATTAATTGTCCACATGACCATTGCCCGCATACAGAAAGACTCCTTACCATAAGCATCATAAGTGCTGACACCTTTTTCCCAGAGAAGCTTCAGGTCGTCAATTAATGGTTGGAGGAAAACATCGATGTCATTTCCAGGAGAATATCTTCCAGGGATCAAAAGTGACAGTATCATGTACGGTTGCTTCATGCACATCGACGGGGGCATGTTGTACGGTGTCAGCAACACTGGCCAGGTAGACCAAGCAGAGCTCATTACTCCAAACGGATTAAATCCGTCGCTAGCAAGCCCCAGCCTAATATTCCGAGACTCCTTACCAAAGTCAGGGTATATACGATCGATGTGCTTCCATGCCTCACCATCAGCAGGATGTCTCAATTTCCCGTCCTCTTTACGATCGGTCGAATGCCATCGCATATTCTCAGCCAGCTCGGCAGACATATAAAACCTCTGCAGCCTAGGAATAATTGGAAAATATCGGAGAACCTTCACAGGGATTCTGCTCTGTTTATTGGATGATATGCCTTCAGATGTGCCCGTATGTTTTTTCCAGCGTGATACATGACACGTCGGACATTCCTCTAGACCTTCATTACCCTTATTGTACAAGATGCAGTCATTAGGACAGGCGTCTATCTTTTTGTAATCAAGACCCAGGGTATCAACAATCTTGTGAGCTTCATAATAAGTTGTGGGGATGCTCTTCTCGCCGCCTGGAATGACTTTCCTGAGCAAGTCTAATAACATCTCGAAATGTGTAACAGCCATCCCACTGAGTGTTTGGATATGAAGAAGCCTCAGCATAAAAGAAAGCCTTGTGAACTCGGTGCAACCCTCGTATAACGGTGACTCGTTTTCTTCAACAAGTCTCATCAATCGGGCTACATCTTGAAACATATCAGTAGTGTTAACATCACTCGAAGACGGCACGGTAAGAATATCTTCCAACATATCAGTTGTGTCAATTGTCGGATTGTCGACATCAGTAAACTCTTCCTCTAATTGCATCACCGGGACGCCTTCACCGTGATGACTCCAAAATACATAAGAGCTATCAAATCCATTGATTGACAGATGGAAACTTACGTCACTCCTAGTGAGCATTTTATCATTCCTACAATTCTTACAAGGACAAAAAATCAACCCGCTGAGTGACCGTAGAGGGTTGGTGTCAGAGTAGGCTAAGAAAGCTTCTATCCCATCCTTGTATCGAGTGTCTAGATGCCTTCGATCACGTGGTATGCCCATGAACGATTTGTCAGGAATTGTCCGCATCTAGAATTTAAAAATTAATGGAAGTGAGCATATCCCTACATATATCATTTTAAGTTATAGGACAAGTGTGTGTGATCGGCTGTCAGAGGAAGGCTTCTATCCCATTAGGTATGTAAACGTAGCGTGTATATGTATTTACGTGTGTTCAAGTGTACTTTTATTTCGTCAAAATTTCGGCAGCACCTACCCGCTGTACTTAATCGGATCCGGATCCTCTCCTAATGAGAGGGTTCCTAATATCTCCTAATGAGATCTTGGCCTTTGATTTATCAATCAAAGGCCAAGATCTCCTCATGCACAAAAGTAGGCGGGAGATAAGGCCTAGATATTGGCCTTTGATTGATAAATCAAAGGCCAAGATCTTCTTATTAGTAGGTATTAGAAGAGGATTCATTAGGAGAGGATCCCAATTCGTTCTCCGAGTACACTATAGTACACGGAGAACAACGAGTAAGCGCCGCCAACAATCCTGTATGCATATACGCCGCCAACAATCCTGTATGCATATATCTCAAAAATAAATTAATTTAAAGTATTATAATTTTTCTAAAATAATCCTCTTCACAAATAAATTATTTTTATTTATTTATAATAGTTACTTCTAAAATAATCTTTAAAATATTCATTTTCTTTAAAATACTTCTTTTCTCTCGCTTTCCTAGTATTACGACACATCATATAACAAAATAATTCAACATCGCCATAATATTACCCAACTACAATATTGAAAATAATTGCTAACAATAATGACTAATCTTCAACACACAACCATAATAACTTTTCATCGTGAACATAGAAGAACTAATCTAATAATCAACTGACAGTATACGTATTATGCTTATACCACATGTATCATCTATTATACTTAATAAACAACATGAAATTAATCCGTAATAACTGAGCATGAGAGAATAACAAGTCCAAATAAGTCTTGCCTTGGTTCGTGGCGTTGGACTTGACGGCGACGGGAGAGAGGATCAGCGGAGAGGGGCTGCCGGGGTTGT